ATATATATATCACCTAAACTTTACTTGTTTACCTTTATACCACCCGAAATTTTCATATCACATAAAAAATACCACCATTCAAGTGAAATACACATTTTCATGCATAGGCAAGGTGGATGTATGTATAAATTGAAGCTTAGTGCTACATATTTAAATGCATAAGAATTGAGTCGTACATATATAAATCTTTTTTAATATTAATGTTATGTTTGATATGATATTAAACATCTGAGTGTAATGTAAGTAATATTAAAGTTTAGGTGTTAGATATATAAATATATAACAAATGTGTGCGTATGTAAATTCCACATATGTTTTTTATTTTACATAAATGCAGGCTTAATTGGTTCACTAGCTGGGCTATCCTCGATTGAATTTGGTCAGTTGCTATGTTATCTTGAGAACTCATTGACCCGGCAATCCTGCTTGATGGCAATAATCATACCCAGCTTTAACCTGAACTCAACTTACTACTAAATGTTTGCTTATAACTCCTTATAATTTGTTTTATTTGCTAGGATATGTTGCTGCTGTAGCATGTTAAATCTTCTTTATATAACTGTGACATATTTTAATAACCTCAGTTCTGGGCTGTTTTTCTTGTCAGGCAAACAGGGCAGCTCCAGGTTTTGAGCGCCCATCATCAATCCGGAGGGGTACCCTCTTATCTATGAATATTTCTTACATAATTTACAATTCTAACCTAACTTAATCCATCTTGCACATATCTAGGAACGCTCGGTTTCAACTATTCTCTATCTTGTTTCTCTGCAAGATATCACAAACTGTCCTTTCCGTGTCGTTGATGAAATCAATCAAGGTATGCTTCTTTTATAAAAAAACATAAAAATGCCTAATTTGTTTCAACTGCCTAATGATATGATTTATTGCTAAATTGTTGAAAGGAATGGATCCAATAAATGAAAGGAAAATGTTTCAGCAACTTGTGAGAGCTGCAACATTACATAATACACCCCAGTAAGAAATAAAGTTTGGACATGCAGCCTCTCTCTGATATATCTTGTATTTCAATAAATTTTCTTTCAATGTCCATTGCTAAACTGTGGTATTGCACTGTCAGGTGCTTCTTACTGACGCCAAAATTGCTTCCTGATCTTGAGTACAGTGATGCCTGCAGCATTTTGAACATCATGAATGGTCCTTGGATCGAAAAGCCTTCTGAAGGTATTTGTATGTAGCATCCAAAAAAAAAAAAATAGTAATAATAAATTAAAGGGGGATGTATGTAGCATCCAAAAAAAAAAATAGTAATAATAAATTAAAGGGGGATTTGCATACATGCCACACAATTTTTATATATTTACATATCTAACACCAACTTTTAATTTTTATATTCATGCCACCTTAGCTTAGAATTGTGTGATATGTATGCAAATGTCCCTAAAAGAATATACAATTGATGTGACCCAACCACCCAACCGTTTCTACTTACAAAATGAAATTGAAGTTTCATATTTAATATTCTATTAAATTTTGTTTTGCAAATACAGCGGTTTCCCAATTCAATTTTTTGCTTTTGTAGTAATTTTGTAAGTAGGCATAATTTCAATGGTTGATTTTCTCAATTCCTGTAACCACAAGTTTATGTGACGCCATTAAAGGAAAAAGATATTGCGTCCTAAGTCCGGACGCAAGCTGATACACCGGGGGTGTTTTTTGTCTTTTTT